ACCGGACGCGGCTATTGTTACATTGTAAATGAGTTAGATCTTGTTGCAATTTATTACGTAAAATTATTTCAGTAATGAACTTGGAAAATTTTACACATATTCACGGAAGCTGGTTTAGAAAGGAATTATGTTAGAAGAAAAGAAGAAAACTTGCATAACCGAAACATGTGATTATTATTTATTCGGCATGTCATATCACATATGATTTGTTATCGATGGATATCCCGGAGTAATTACAAGTCAAGACATTAAATATTATCCTAAACTTAGCACACCTCTGACACAGATTCATTTCATCGTCACCGGCGACAATTGCTAAATCGCTGCCTCAATTTTAACGGACAGCTGTAAATCTATTTAACTGGTGTGGAGCGTTGCACGCGTCCGTACATCAATTAAGTCCAATTAGCCCAGCGACTCCGCACTACCTCTTTGATACACCGACGACGGATTAACTACCGACTTCTGAATTACTCCGATTTGTCGATAACATCCACCCGCTACTATTAACAAATCAAGTCTTGTTTATTTATAGCCGGCTAGATAAGCCACTTTCCAGGAAGCGTTGATTATGAACAATTAATTATCTGTGCAGGCAACATTGGCGAGTTCTCGCGCTTGTTGTTATTACACGTCGTGATAAACGCCGATGGTATATTTCTTAATTGCCCGTTGCATGATACGGGCACTATCGAAGCACTATTTCCAACATAATAAGCATTATCATTACAATAACAAGCTAGTAACTCGCGGCATTCGATGTGCTCATGACGGGAATACGATAACCCGACAGACCGTCTCAGTTGGATTTTGTGTGCAAGAAGCTACACAATACTTGTGTGCCGCCCATTATTTTACATTGGATTTTTTTTCTTAAAATATAAACTTTTCTAGACAATTTTAGTGTTTCGCCGTTCAGAATTGGACATGTGTTTGTGATTGTGATTATTGGATCTTGTGTTGAATAAGTTCGTGTGAACAATGTGAGTCGGTTTTCCTTACATTTAATTAAGCTATCGTCGATACGTTAAGTCAACAATGACCCGGTTTCATCTCTTTCGTGCTCGATCAATGGACATTTCGAAATCCATCTGTGATTGATGGCGCGAGTAATTTAGTTTTGAAATGTATAATTAGACTATTGTATATTGCCATTGTGTGTCCGATAGTAAGTTTACTAAAGTTTAAATTATAAGAGTTCGTGGTTGAATAAGGTTTTTTACGTGTGACTGAATGGGTCGTCCGTGGTACAGTCCCAATTTCCCAGCAGGCAGCGTCTTCATTAATCATAGTCTCGTTTGTAAAAAGGACAGAGATATGGTGTTTATGTTATTTTAAAAACTTTGTTCTTTGTGTTTCTCTTACTTGTGTGGTGTTTGCGAAAGTTCTTTTGTTTTCAAATAGGTTTCTGGGGTAAACGAAAGCGTTTTTTGACAGGTTTTACCTCGTTGCTCTAGCTTGCGGATGTGAAGTAAGTATGGAGGTTCGAAATTGAAATCTATGCTAAGAATCTTGGACTTTGAGAAACAATAAGTAGAAATTTATTTTTTGCTAGGTTTTCTTGATTTCGTAATTGGTCAAAGATTTGATTAATAAACTGCCGAATATTGTCTCATAATAGAGATATCATATTTTACGTTTTTATTTCGAAGAATATAGTTGACAAATATTACTTACTCTACAAGAAAACTCTTCACTAAAGGTCGTTGTACAACTGACGCCGGTGTCACTTTGATAAAGGAGGTATTCGGTGCTTGGGAGGAAGCACAGGATGCTGTTGGTGTCTTTTGCGACCTCTCAAAGGCGTTCGATTGCGTTGATCATGAAACACTCTTGCTGAAATTAGATCATTACGGGATTAGACATACTGCACTCCGTCTACTAAAGTCATATTTAGAGGATAGGCAGCTGAGAGTTCATGTAGGTGGTTCTAACTCACGGGGCTCTGAGATAAAAATTGGCGTACCGCAAGGTTCAATTTTGGGTCCGTTTCTCTTCTTAGTGTATGTTAATGACTTGCCATTTCTATTTAAAACCGAGCCAAGAATGGTGCTGTTTGCAGATGATACATCATTAATTTTTAGAATAGGTCGACGTGTTAATAATTTGGACGAAGTAAACAGATCCATTCATCGAGTTCATAATTGGTTTACAGTCAATAATTTAGCACTTAACGAGAAAAAAACAAAATGTATTAAATTTAGCTTGCCCAACGTACACAATAATGATTGTGACATAATTTTAAATGGGCAAAAGTTAGAATTTGTTAACGAGACTATGTTCCTAGGTATTACGCTAGACAATAAACTTCAATGGGGTTCCCACATAAAGACGCTTTCGGGAAGACTGAGCTCAGCTGTTTTTGCAGTTAGACAGATTAGACAGCTTGTTTATTTTAGCTATTTTCACAGCATTATGTCATACGGAATTTTGCTATGGGGTCGAGCTGCGGAAGTACATTCAATATTTATTTTGCAAAAGCGGGCTATCCGAGCGATATATAACTTGTCCCCCCGTGAATCTCTGAGAGAACTATTTAAAACGATAAATATCCTAACGGTACCTTGTCAGTTTATATATGAAAATATTATGTACGTAAGGAAAAATTTGCAATTATTTGAAAAAAGAAGCGATAGACACAATTTTAATACTAGAGGCAAAGATAGGCTGGCTGTGCCACGATTCCGTCTGTCCAAAGTACAGAAATCCTTTATGGGGTTCTGTGTAAATTGTTACAATAAAATTCCAAGAAGTGTATTAAATCTTAATGAACGAAAATTTAAAACTTATATTAAACGCGAATTATGTAGACAGGCATACTACAAACTTTCAGATTATATTGAGGATAAGAATGCCTGGCAGCATGTTGGTTCGGCTCCACTGGACAATTCTCAAATATGTAGTCAGTAGTTATTAAAATTCTCAAAATTAATGAAACCTTGAATGAGTTTATATAGAAGCATTCTTTTGGATTGTGAGTACGCATATGTGAGCGCCATGTACGAGACAACAAAGGATTAAAATTTTAATGAAAGATTAAATAGACCATCATTTGTTCCTTTTTATTAACAACTTGTCTCTGCATTGCTCTCACATAGGGGTACAGTAATGTATAAAAAATGTATTATTGATGAATTGTAAAAAAAAATATTTTTTTTTTAAAGAGTAACGATGGAGTTTCTTGCTCGTTCTTCTCCATTCGAAACTACAATTTGGAACGAGCACCTAGCTTCACTGACGAACAGACTGACAGACTACTATTCTATTTTGACGTTTCAAAAGTACCTATTTATGGTTTATTTGGAATAAATGATTTTGATTTGATTTGAAGATGTTCAAATTAAACTGTAACATTGTTGAAGATAAATATGAAAGAATAGTTAAATGCATGATTCTGTTTAAAAATTTATGTGTGATAGAAAAATGATTAGTTGGTTCGAGTGTTTCAGTGAGATAAAACAAAAAAAAACATCGTGCGGAAACCTGGACTTATAATTTCTAATTATACTAAGTTTGAAATCGCCAATCCGCCTTGAGCAAGCTTGGTGAATATGATGATTCTAGTGAGTTAGGATAAAGGAGTTTTTAAGTGTTATAACATTATTTAGGACAATCATTTAGTAACTAATAATGATTAACCTTGTGCGAATACGGCCAAGTTATGTTTAACTATATTTATCAATGTCAAAAAATATTATGATAAACAAATACATATTAATAAATGTCTATCTAAATTAATATCTTCACTGAGTTTGTAATAATATTTAATTACTTGTGTATACATAATTAGTTACATAAATAAATCTTTACTGTCACAAGTGTCCATCAAGTTTTGAAGTGAGACGGAATGGTAGATTCTACTTATGTAAATATGTTGTAAAATATTGATGTTTTAATAGGCATCCGAAAGACTTAGCTATTATGAATTCCTCTGGGCAGAGTATGTTGTGTAACCCATACGACTTAGGGCTGATTTTTCAATAGTCACACAAATGTTATCTGAGGAATTAAATTGTTGCTGTCACTGTCTTATACAAACATTCTGACGCGACAGCATCATAATTATTCCTTAGGCAATTTTTATCTAACCATTGCAAAATCAGCCCTTAAAGCAGAATAACTAAACCATGGTTATAATATATGATTATATGACCGAGACTAAACTGAATTTCTAATAAATATTTTATGAATAATTAAAATAAAAAGCCATTTTGTCGAAATTGTATGTAATGATAAAATATCTAACAGTTTTAAAAAATAATACGTAATAAATATGGATAAATCAGGATAGGATATGATTTATTTATTGAGTTGCATCAGAGGAGATATGCATCTTGCTAGACGTTCAATTATTTGGACTACACAGACAATGCATAGCTTTCTGTGTCAGATTGTAGACATTAAGTGTGGGAGAGCCAATGGGTCGGCTGGACCGGAGTGATACCACGGCCTCACAGAAAACTAGCGTGAAACAAACACAGCGTTATGTTTTGCCGAGTGAGTTAGGTTACCAGAGGCCCAATCCCTACCCCTCCATGGAGGATTGGGTGTGGATTTAGGATTGCCCTTCCCAATCCATAAATGTCCTAATTTGCTCAAAATGTTCCTTTTCACAATGGTGAAAGAAGAATGCTTCTTTCTTTTTTCTGTGGTACTAAGTATAACATAGAACTTGAAAAAAATCATATTGTTAACTTCCTTACATAGTGTAGCAGCTGTAACAAAACTCTTGTGGATTGTTAGGGAGTTAAGGATAGGTCAATCGAGGATTGAGAATGGGGTAAGAATTGGGTCTCCAGTAACCTTACTCCAGTTTACGCCGGTTTTTTCTTAGACCGTGGTATCACTCCAGTCGAGCCGGCCCATTCGTGCCGAAGCGTGACTCTTCCACACTTATTCTTGACAAACTTAAGGAAAATTTGTTTGTAAATGATTGTTTACCGTTCCCTATATTTACGCTTATAATGGTGTTGATTAATAATAATCTTTACAACATTTCCTACGTCATAATAGATATTACATTACTAATTCTTGTTCTTATCACTCGTTCCAATTAGCGTTTCATTGAGCCCTTCCGAAACGTTGTTGGAAAATATTATCAATATACTTTAGCCATAATTGAACATTATTTTCTATTAGTCATATTGTAAATTGAATATTGTTTAAATAAGTCATTCAGAACCGTGGTTACCATTGTAATAGTAGTGTCGTGTTGCAGTTGATTGATCCTCGAATCAGTTTTTCGTTTACTATAGAAATTGATAAAGAAAAATGAAATTTGTGGTCCTTTGTCTCTGTATCTTTTTATGTGGAATCAAGAGGTACTTGTTTTTTTGTATTTTTTTTTATTATTTTTGTCAGTGGTTTTTAAAGATGAATCTATTATGGTTGTGTGATTGTGGTCGTTTCAGTGTTTATGTTGTTTCTTGTGTCACTCTAATTTGCTAAAACGTTGCTTTGTGTTTGTTTTTACTTCTGAGCTTCATACCTATGTTCTTCTAGATTTGCACCTGAATTTGCACCACCGTGTAATCTATAAGATTTTACACTTATGTACAGATATAACAAAAAAAAAAAATGATTGCAGTCCAATTGAGAACAGAAGGAGGTTCTTAATTCTTAATTCGAACTTTTTAACTTTTTCGTTCGTTAAAATTTATACTAATATTATAAAGCTGGAGAGTTTGTTCTGTTGTTGTTCGAACGCGTTAATCTCCAAAAGTACTGGTAGTAATTGAATAATTCTTTTTGTGTTTGTAAGTACATTGATCGGGAGATGTGGAGGCGAGATGGCCTTTGCTCAGCAGTAGGAAATTACTAGATAGTAAAAAAACAGTACATTTATCGAGGAAGGCTTTAGGCTATAAAATATCAAGCTACGCTTTGTAGGAGCCGAGCAGCGAGTGAAACCGTGCGACAGAAGCTAGTTTAAAATAAATTGCGTATAATCGAATGCACTTGCGTGTATAGTGTTCTAGTGAAATTATGTCATTGCATTATTATGTTTTATAATATTGCCTAGAACATTCTCAATGAATACCCTTAATATTTAACGAACCTTCAATGTCTATGTATGTTGTACCTACTTTGCCTTGCCTTTTCCTGTCCTGAAAACCATTGTGATATGGTTTAATATAATTATAATATAACAGTACTTATAGTAGAAAGATGTTATTCAATTCTACTTAATATTATAAGCGGGAAAGTTGTTAAGTATAATACACTATTGAAACGATTTAAATGGAAATTCGGCATGGGATGGCAAGGCATTGACTTGAATAACACATAGATTCTCTTTATCTGGGTAATGTGGGCTAATAAGCTCAGTCTATTAACATGTATTAAACTTTTATTATTGACGTTGTCAAACAAAAGATACGCAATGATATTGATATTACAGTCTGCGGTATCCGATTTTCGTCGCTTAAGTAATGAATTTTCTTTTCTTTGTATCGACGGTAAAAGAATACACGGATTGACTGATGGTTAGTTATCAGTGATGGCTCTGGACCCTCGCAACAAAATAAGAGTTACAAGCCTTTAGTGGTTGTAATTTGTAAATTTTGTTGATATTTCATGTTTTACAATAAGTTATATTTAACCCAATTATTTGCTTGCAGCATTTTTCTTAAAACAATTATTGAAGTTCATAGGTTCTCCAGAAGCTTTCCCTGCCGTTTGTAATGTAACCGAATTGTTTATTTCAAATAATTAAAAATCATATCAAATAACAATTATAATACACTTTGTCAGCGCAGTTATAATATTAATCTTCATATGTAAATATTGAAAGACATTTATTACCTCTTTTTATATTTTATAGCCTATTAAAATAGTACCTATGTACCTACAGGTACCTACTACATGTAAACATACGGTTTCAAAATCGGAAAACTAAATTTAAAGCTTAGTACAACAAATAAATAATTAATAAATAAATTGGTAATTCCAAACTATTGTTATAAAATTCCATTCACGTAATAATGTGATTTATTTAAAATGATATTTAATATTTACTATTTACATTAGATGGCGCTAAAAGTGTCGTCCGTGGTGGCCCAGAATAAAGGTGCCCGCTTCTCATGCATGAGGGTGCGGATGACAAGTACTATGTAACTTTTTTCTAGTTATATATTTTTCAAAGAATTAAACGCTCTTAGTCCACACCCGTGTTACAAAATTCTGGTAGATATCCGACAGTCACTGAGGTAAGTGACAAGTGAAAGGATTATCTAAACAAAAAAAAAGACACTCTTAATTTCGAAATTATGGCAATAAATAACTTCATTTCTGACTTCATGTTTCCTGGAAATTATAAACCACACAATTAATACCTACAAATTAAGTAGGTGCGTCAATAATAATTTAAAAAAAGGAGGATTAGAATTTTGATTAACGATGCTATCATGCGACTACAATATGGTAGCTCTAGTAATTATATGACTCAATATTATTTGTTCGATTATTAGCCAATTCTGGATAATGTTTCTCAATAAAACAGTTTATTTTAACATCAAGAGTTGAGAATGTTAAGGCAATTACCTACTAGTTTGTAATAAAATATTTTTTATTTAACGTACTGTTGAGTCTTCTGGTGTGGTGGGTTACGCTGATCCTTTGTCCAGCAGGAGATTCGTCTGCTCATTGGCCGTAGGGTTTAGAATTGAAACAATATTTTCTTTATTTTCTTCTTCTTTCCTACTCATACTGCACCTAATGCGAATAAATGCTAAATCCTACTAGGTACTATGTTAAGCATATAAATTGTTAAGGCAATCTGTCAATATTTTATACATTTTCAACCATAAACTTTTGCAGTAAAGTTTAGAATCTATTCTGTACATGATAATTATTTAAGGGGAACTTATTTTCATTCAGTGACAGCCTTGACAGTACAGCGTGATTTACGCTCGGGGTTTTTTCTCCACATCGTTACACTGGTTTAATTACTCTGCATTTATAAATACATGTCTCCTCGTTAGCTGCTTAATTACTTATTTACTGGGTATTATTGACGAGATGCTGTCCCCAGCTTGTTTTATCTCGACTGTTTAGTTGTAGGTACCTACCCCCACAGCTCTTATCTCCAGAGCATTACTAATTTCCTCTTATCTCGCTACTAGCAGTTATTTCTTGAATTATCGCTTCGTCTTGTTATAGTTACGCTCCATTTGCTCTTTACATAACATTATTCTTACCGTCCACATCCAAAGTAGATACTAATATCGATTTTACTGGGCAGATTGTTTTTTCATAATGCGAAGTTTCAAGTCTTGTTAGGTTTCATTTTTTCCACGTTCGTTGGAAAGTTATTTTCTAGCTGGCAATGCAGGGATTTACATCGGCGCCAGCGCAATGTAAATGAACACGCGGTGGTTGCGCCGTTCGCTGTGTCACTCGTATGACCCGCCGGCATTCGGAATACATTACCGAGCCGTAAGACAATCGAGTAAGTGTGGCGTCGATGATCGACGACGCTTCTATAATTGTATGGATGCTTTAGCTAGTTATACTCTTTGCTTTAAAATGAGGTGTGTCAAAAGTTATTGCTTTCGTATCATAATGTAGGAGAGCCATGATTTGGCACAGATGAGTCGGCTTGACCGGAGTGAAACCACGGCCTCACAGAAAACCGTATTATGCATGAAGCAACACTTACATTCTGTTTCGCCTTGCGAGTGAGGGGACCGGAGGCCCCATCCTCAAAATATCCTTTAATCCCTTATAAAACACAAGAGGCCGGCAACGCACTGGTAGTAACTCCTTTGATATTACGAGTGTGCATAGGCGGCGCTGATTGCTTACCATCAGGTACCTAATCTGTTTGCTTGATCTATTGTATATCTAAGCAAATAGTTGATCTCTGCTAAAGTGAAATGTACTCGTAGAATGAACTCTTGAAAAAAAAGTTTTTGTTAAGTTGCTTCTAGCTAGTAGATTGTTGTCCAGTCTTCAAAGCAACGACATTATCAGCTATGGATACTCAATCCACATTTATGCGTTGCTTGTCGCAGTATTGTCATGACTATTTATTGTTGGATTTCAGAGCGCTCCATCGCCATTATTTTTTGGTAAAATTGGAAGCTGTTCGTTAAGTCGTCAACTAAAGGTAAAAAATCTTGGTATGTAAAACGATTGACCATAGGCGTTATGATAGTTGCATTTACTTATATTAGATTTGGTCATGGTCACAACGTAGAATCTGCAAAGGGATTTGGTCTGTCAATCTTACTTGTTAAAGATAGAAAGTAATAGATTTCTATATATGCAAACGATTACTTAATTAACTGGACATATTAAAATGCAGTAAACATGAACGAACAAGTATCGTAACTCTAAAACAAGAAAGGCAGTTTGAACTATTCGTAGAACTTAACAAGTTTTCTGAGAACCGTGTAACTAATAGTAATAGTCATTTGTACACTTATACACTTAATATGTTTAATATTCATTCTCATCTATTAGTCGTACGTAACATAAACACTTCATTGCCTGTATCCGGTTTACTCAGACAAGATATTAATCGTAATAGGTACGGTTTTGTTCAATGAACCCTCTTGTGGGACATACTGCCAGTGTGTTTCCAATATTTAATCGTATCTGAGCCCAATACTGTTTGTGGGTGAATAACCTATGGTTCTATTATTTGTTGTGTTTTGTTTTAATAGATTTGGTCGTTCAAAATTTGAATTTGAATTTAGATTCCGGTTAAGATGTGATGTGTTTTTTAACCGACTTCAAAAAAAGGAGGAGGTTCTCAATTCGATTGTATTTTTTTTTTTTTTTTTTTTTTTTATTTTTTTTTTTATGTTTGTTACCTCAGAACTCCGTCGTTTATGGACGGATTTGCAAAATTTTTTTTATGATTGAAAGGATATGCTTCCAGATTGGTCCCATTCTTTTCAAAATCAAGTTTTGATGATGGGATCCATGAGAAATCGAGGGAACTCCTCAAATATTATAGGCAACTATATAGTAATTTTAATATTTTCATAGAGCACTCAAGCATTTACAGTCAAAAAGTAATGTTTGATGAGGTGGAACTGGTGAAGAAGATCAGAAATGGATGATGAAACTTGACACTCGCATAGATATCACAATCAAGGTAGTTCAGCAACTATGAAAATGCACTGTAAACCAATGATCTTAAATAATTATGTTGGAAATGTTATCATCGAACTGATTTAATGATGATTATGGAGCTGGAAGGTAGGCACTGGAACTGCGTACCTAATTAATATATCCTAGCCGTGTTTGGGCTTGTTAGAATTGTTATAAGATGCACTTTGGCTGTAAGGTACTATTGAACTGATGTGATGATGAAGCTGGAAGGTTGGCATGGGGCCTAGTATTGTGTAAGCTTATTAGAGCTGTCAAGAGCAATGGAAAGGGCTATGCTCATAGTTTCCGTGCATGTTCGAATCAGAACTGAAGAAATCCGCAGAAGAACCAGCGTCACCGACATAGCCCGAAGAAATGCCAAACTTAAGTGACAGTGGGCACGGCACATTGCTCGTAGAACAGATGGCCGATGGGGCCGAAAGGTTCTAGAGCGGGACCGCACACCTTTGGGGGCGGAGTTTGGCCTAGTATTGGCTATTTTGCATTAGTCCACGTGGACTGCGTTTACACATTAGTGGTGAAATGCGTCATTGTGTTCTTATCGTTTTCCTGGTAATAGGCTAAGAGAATTCATTGGCATTTTTAACAAAACAGTCGTTTTAAATGGGTTACAAAACAATAATTGCGTCGTACAAAACAATAATTGTGTTTCTTTTGTGTGCACATATGTAGATAATACTTACTTAAAAAAGGTTCATACATTGAATGAGTCATAAATGTATATTTACAATAGCGATGGTCTTTTATATTTTTACCAACTTGTCTATATATGAATGTTCTTAGTAATAACAAAATAGTATTCTTCATTTAATGGGTTACAATTGATACAAAACAATAATTGCATCGGTCTTTTTTCTATGTACGAATGTATTTAATCATAGATACTAAATTAGATTGCATTTGGTATCTTTGAACTTTATCTGTCTGTTGATGAAAATATCTAGTTTTTTGTTATTTGGCGAGAACTAATATGAATTTATGATAAGATTATTATTTTATTTTAACTATCCTAACTAATATTATAAATGCGAAAGTAACTCTGTCTGTCTGTCTGTCTGTCTGTTACGCTTTCCCGCTTAAACCTCGCAACCGATTTTAATGAAATTTGGTACAGACAATCTTTAGACCCTGAGACAGAACATAGGCTACTTTTTTTTTCGAAAAACAGGGATAAAGGGGTTGAAATAGGGGTTAAAAGTTTGTATGGGATTTCTTAATTTTTAAAGAGAAAACCATAAAACTTAATATTTAAGCACTTGATAAGAAAATATTAAATATTTGTTCTAGCATTTTTGAAATTTCGACCAGCTAGGGGGTGATATAAGGGTTGAAAGTTAATGCAATTTCGTCAAATATCACGTCTTAAGAAACAAAAAATCGTTTGTACTAGCATTTTGAAAATTTTATCAGTGTGATATGTAGTAAAATAGGGGATGAATTGAAGATAAGACCCGGAACGGATTCGGAACGGGATCTACAAAGCCAACCTTTATGTAGGTATACGAAATCTTAACTATTGAACCTAGGAACATGTAATTTAGAAGGGTTTTGGGTGTATCAAGTTACAAAATAGTTCACTTTCGAAGTATAAATTCCTTTTAATGTACACTCTGCATCGCCGTAGCTGCCGTCGGCGTCGCGCCGAAGTGCGGCGCGGCGCCGGCGCTGTCGTGTGGTGGGGAAGCGCACGAATCTAACTATGTCTACCCGAACGGACAGACACGTGAGGACAGAGGTCGTGGTCGGGTGCGATAAGAGAAATTTGCGCTTTAGAGAATTACATTTTTCGAACCAGTAAAATTATTTTATTGTTTCGTCTAACTTTTAAGTCTTTTTTTATTAATTAGATCCTGTAAATAAATTTTGCACATACCTATATTTCTTTTAGTTCATAGTTACAACGTTACAAGTAGGTAAGATAGTTTCCGTTACTTATATTTAAATTTATAATTTCCGTTACTTATATATAAATACGATTTGCGTTTATTTCCTTTTTTTATTCAATTAATCTAATAGCATCCTACTTTTTTGCATTGGTTGTAAATAAGGCAGGCAATGCAGGCAGGGTGAACAAAGGTTTTTTAATATAATAAATCTTAATCTGTACATCTGTTTCGTTCGATTCATTTCATTTTTGTTTTTCTACGATGCCTCGCAAACGAAAGTCCAATTTAGCTAAAAGCTCTAGCAGAGCTCGGGCTGCTAAACTTGCCAGATCATCTCATTCCAGAGACTTCTCGACAGACCCAAGCTCGCCAAGCCATTGATGCCAAGCGTCACGCGGCCCAAAGAGCTGCTGAGACCTCTCAACAGTCCCAAGCTCGCCAAATCATTGACGCCGAGCGTCACACGGATCAAAGAGCTGCTGAGACTTCTCAACACACCCAAGCTCGCCAAATCTTAGATGCTGAGCATCAAGCTTCGTACATAGCCGCAGAGACCTCCGAAGAAACACGTAGACGACGATGAATACGTGGGAGGCATTTGCCGATGCTGCTTTTAATTATGATCTGTTACTTGATTACTTTAATCATCGATTAGTCCTCATAGGTAGAATGGCCAATAAATGCAGACACTGTGAGGCACTCAAGTGGAAGGAAGAGACTCTAGGTATGTGCTGTTCTGGAGGCAAAGTATCAGTACCAACGCTTGGTGACCCCGAGAAGCAACGACAGAAGAAAGGACAGCAATGAATCTCGGCGATTTTTCCTGTCATCATGCCTGGATTTTCACCCACATTTACGGTACAAGGGCAAGTTTATCATAGGATTGGTTCTTTGCTTTCCACAAACAATGATCAACCAAAATTTCTACAGATTTATTTTATGGGAGACGAAAACAGCGAGGTTGACCGTTGATGTCAAAATATTGAAGGAGATGAGAGGGACATTGTTTTAAAAATTCAAAGAATGTTGCACGAACATAATAACCTCATTAACACCTTCAAAGCAGCCTTAGAAAGAATGACAGGGGAAAATCACAAATTAGTAATACTCGCAGATCGTACGCCAAGCGGGGAACATGAAAGACGTTATAATGCACCCTTATTAAACGAAGTCGCTGCCATGGTGTGTGGTGAACAGTTCGCATCGCGCGATATTGTTTTTCAAACCCATGATAACACATTGATCAGGGTGTCCGACACACACAAGTTTTATGACGCACTACAATACCCGCTTATGTTTAGCAATGAGCAAGAGGGGTACCGTTTTCAAATTCCACAAGAAGTGTGGAATTTGAAAATGGTACTCCTGGGCTGGCCCCTGTAAGAGTCTCTTAGACATAAGGGACCAGGATTGACAAAAACTAATTTGACGCGGGCGAAGCCGCGGGCGGAAGCTAGTAAGTCATAAGTATCTCATGCATCATATCATCTCTCCTCGAGATCAAAACGATTACACAGTAACAATGTACTATGATATGTATTTCTACGTATAAGTATGACATTGGTAGCTTTTTCAAAAGAAATGTAGGAACGATATTGACTTCTTTGCCATAACACATTATAATAATAAAAAAAAAAAAACACTAAACGGCTACAAATAAAAAAAAATTTTACAAAATAAAAAAACCGCCTTCAAAAAAAGTCAAGCAATAAAAGTTCCTACACTAAAAAGTAAAAAATAACAATTTGAATTACTGTAAAAAAACTTAATTTATAGGTAAACTTATTTGACATTAATATTTTGCTAATATTCAAAATTTATTACTTATTTTTGGAGTCGGTGCCAGCCCATGCAAGAAAATACAAATGGGCAACAATCCCTTGAAAAACTACCTCTTACTTAATTATAAAACTACTTAATACCTATTTGCATACTCAAATATAGGTATATTAATTAAGACATAAATACAGATTAGACTTCTCTACAAAAAATGTCCGATTTGCACATTTTTTTAAATAAAAAATATGTACTTACAAAAACATTTTAAGTACATTGAAAATGTTTAAGCATTATGTACGAAAAATGGCACCGGATATTAAAAACCTAACTAACATTAAGTTTCAACATCAAAATGCTGGCACCGACTCCATAAATAAGTAATAAATTTTGAATATTAGCAAAATATTAATGTCAAATAAGTTTACCTATAAATTAAGTTTTTTTACAGTAATTCAAATTGTTATTTTTTACTTTTTAGTGTAGGAACTTTTATTGCTTGACTTTTTTTGAAGGCGGTTTTTTTATTTTGTAAATTTTTTTTTTATTTATAGCGCCGTCTTGTTGATGTCATAAACAAAAAGTTGTTAATGAAGGATTATGTGGATAATGCCTCTTTGTCTAGCTGCCTTGTTGGTTCTGATAGCTATTTATTATAAATTTATTTTATATGAAATTTGCAAGCTTAAAGTTCAAATTTGTATTCGGTTTTTGTTGTCTTTTTTGTTATAATCTGAGATAAACAAAACTCTCGAATGCTTTTGGGGGAAACGTGAACTAAATGACACATTTCTTTAATACCAAAATGTATTATCATGTAACGTGAACTCTCCATTTGTGAGAAGAGGCCTTCGCCTAGCAATAGGACATATACAGGCTGGTGATAATTACGTGAAAAACTTCTCTTCATCATGATTAAGTAGCCTGCAAATGCGCCATTTCTTTGTAAAGGAAGGCTCTTAGCTCATTGGACTTCCCAGGCGTCTTATGATGAGTTTTCTTTATGAGAACGCCATAGAACAGTGATCGCTTTTAGCCTCTACTTGGTTGGTTGACTTGGATAGGCCAATCAGAGCCCCGAACGTTATAAACGTATAAACGTGTCGATCGCATTACCAAACTCGTATAAGGCATTCTGATGGGATTTTTACTAAGTACCTTTTTATTGTCCTCAGTGTTAGCATGGTGGTGGTGCTGAACGGCGTGCTCGCGGACGAGTGCCCGACGTCAGTGCGTGCGCTACTTGCCGCGCACCCTGGCTACAGAGATGCTGCAGCACAACTATTGGCGGCCGCCGCCAGGGTCGTACCACCGCCTGGCTTGCTCTATGTAGGTCAACGGGAATTAGCAGCTGTGGTACCACATGACAGTAAGTGTTGCGCCATCTTTTTTTTACCTTGTTGCTCCTGGATGGGCTTGAGCTCTAACCGGGCTAGTAAAGGTTAAAAAAAGTAAATTTTATTGTTTAGATCTCTCTTGCCAAGCTGTATCTATACTAATTTTGTAATATTTATTGTGTTTTTGTTTGGATGGAATAGGATCCGAAACTGAAAATTCTTTAACCATTAGGAAGCTTCACTGTCCCTCGTGCTCCTCGTGTGAAATCGCGGGTTACAACTTACTAGTTTAAACCAGTTAGTTAATTAAATAAATATCGCGTATTATTATTCGCTTATCATTTGTTTTGTTATTTTTTACAGAAAACGTCAATATCATTGGATCAGATGACGCCACATCATGCATTATCGTCGTTATCAGGCATTCAGGTAAATTGCAGACAGCATCCTTATAATTAATAAGAAGTCTGAAATTATCCAATCCGCCTCTATCTCAATCATAAATATATGATTTATCATAAATATATGATATTTTCATCCACACAACATTTTTATGGAATAGGGCGGCAAATAATCTGTCAAATCGCCTTTTGTTGCCCTAAAAACCCACATCACCTTAAACGATGGGTAAATTTGACGATTGTTGGATTTGGAGTATGATTGAGTCTCCGGTAACCTCATTCATACGGTGAAACAAAATGCTTGCGTTCTTTTACGCCGATGTTCTGTAAGGTCGTGGTATCATTCCGAGCTATCTATTCCTGTCTGAACCATGGCTTTCCTACACTAACGTGACTCACTTAAGTACATGTTAGTAAATAATTACTCAATTTTTCCAGGGTCTGGAGCGGTAGCCCTAGCCCACTTAGATGGGTCCGGAACAGCGGAGGCGGCGGCGGCGATGGTGTCGCGAGTACAACAGCTGGCCGTAGGGTACCCAGAGGGCAGGCTCGAGTTACAACTGGTCGGAGGCTTCACAGACCCTCACCGCTATTCTGATGAGCTGTTCGCTAATATTATGTGTAAGTTTTTGTAACAAATTATAAGGATAGGTGCTTAAATCCTTTAGCTTATTACTTTTTCCCCTTTATCTGTTTTAAAACCTTTTAATTGTTACTTTTTATAATGTAATTTTATTTGTGCCTGGCAATCATGTCTTATGGCGAATAATCACATTTCATTTACTCCATGTGACCGTATTCGAGGATTGCTCGACTAATTTCAAGTCACACCGAGAATCACAAGCGCTCGAAGCTCGAAGTTAGATGATATTCTAAACTTGTTTGTATTACTAGGACATATGAAGGTCGTTGATACCGGAGCCAGTGCAATGTTGAAGTATAGACTCCCTCTACTTAAAATGGGTTTTGCTGGGTATAATGATGAGAGGTGAATGGTGATCAAACCTTCTCCAAGTGGGAAGAGGCCTTAGCTCAGCAATGGGCACTTGTAGGCTGATGATGACAATGATTTATTTTGTGACCTACATACTAAATAACTTTGTAAACTGTAAATTAATATTGCGTTGTACAAACAATACTTTTGTTACTCGGAAATAAACAATTAGAACTGACGCACAGGTCGAACCCGCGGCTCCTTGTCAGCGTGCCAGCGAATATTAGCAGACTGTGTAGGCGTACTATTGTTGCGTACTATCTGACGAGCTCAGTGACTCATATCAACGTTAATTTTATAGGATTATATGTCGTCTAGTTATTTGTTAAAATTGTTCCTTCTTGTGTCCAATTCGCAGACTGATGTAGGTGTGACAATCAATGAAATTTGATTATTTAACTTTGTAGAAAATTAAGTGAACGCTCTCGCCTTTTATACGGCGAGTTAGTGTTGAGTCTTAAAATAATTTTAAGCACATTTCTTGCAGTCGTTTTTATGTAACATCCTCATCACAACGTAGTAAAGATGTAGGTATTTAGTTATTATACACTTGTAAGTAATAAATTCGATCATCAAACGACACGTTGATCACGGTCATGATTCCCGTCGTGACTTGAAACTAATCGAGCGCTCCTCGACACGTGGACTTACCGATTTACCGAAATGTCCGTGTACTCGTCTCCCTTTTAAGAATTTAATATATTTTCTCACCTTTCCAGTATCATTCCACCGGCTCTCAGTTGAGATAGACCTAACACTGGCTTGTTGCTGTGAGTTGAACACGGCGCTGGGCGGTGGGTCTGCCGCACCCCTTGTCACCGGCGTCGGTGTGGACATCCGCGCCGGTGATCTCTTCCCTGCCACATTCCCAGATAAAGGACCCGAGTTGCCACTAAGAGGTGCCCGGACTATTACCAGTGGACCACATTCCGCACAGGTACTTACCGAAGTTTATATTAGTAAAAAAATATATTATTGTGAATGTACCTCTATTTATGTTTAATTCCAACTTGGCGTGGACAAATAATAAGGCAAAGTCTAAAAACATTTATTCCAACAAATATATATGTAGGTAAGTATGTACCTATATGTATAATATACCTAAATGTAATTCCAACTAAATCATATATCGAGAGGTAGGTACCTACATTTAATACGTCAAAGTAGAATAATAACTAGTCTGTTTGTCAGTGGCAGTGCTGGTTCCAAAATGTAGATTCGAATAGAGAAGAACTAGAAAGAAACTCCTTCGTTACTCTTTTAAAAGCAATACATAATTTAATACACATTATTATACAATACATAATTAAAACATGTCACTTGGACTACTAAGCCAGCTAGCTAGCCAGCAAGGCTCTGAACTCAGTGTGATCCACTAATTGTTTTATCGTGTCGATATGTGCTTATTGATTCGTATGTTTAAATGGAGATACTTACCTCATTTCATTAAAAACTTACCCTTTGTTCATGCTTATCTTTTACAAATTGCAGGTGCTAGATATCTATGATAATACGGTGGGTCTGCTCCGCATCGGGCCCTTCAACTACGAGCCACTGCGCGGCGTGGACCTGTGGCTGGAACAGTCTGACGACTTCATCCTGCAGCATCTTAGCACTACGCCTGCCGTCGAGCCGCCGCATTTCGTGCACAATGTAAGTATACATTTACGATTTGATACTTTAAGAAGGTTAAATAGACTAGAAACTATTATTTTGGGGAACATTGTTTGCTTTTTTTATTTTGCGCCATGCTAGGATTTTTCCTGTATCGTAAGGTTACACCCAGGCCCGAAACAAAAATTCGCTAGATTTTTGTTATACTAGGTTTTGCCCGCGACTTCGTTCGCGAGGAATTAATAGTGACTTCCTGCCGATTTTTGTTATAAAAACTATCCTATGTCCTTTCTGGAGTTCCAAATTATGTCTGTACCAGAAATCGGTACAGTAGTTTAGGCTCGAAGAAAAGACAGACAGACAGACAGTTACTTTCGCATTTATAATATTAGTTTGTATTATTCATAAGGTTAGTACCTCACAATATTTCATTGATCTCAGGTATTTTTATAATCATTAACTACCACTTAGAGTCATTATTTTAATTTTTTTATTTTAAGTCAAGTCAAAAGATATAAGTTTACTTCCTAAAAGCGCAATGCAACTCCTCTAAGGCAGAGCCTTTACTGAAAATGTTCACAAATAAAATCGACTGCACAAATAAGCAATTAGTATTAACTTAATCTATTCACTTTTCAGATTCGCGTGACCCTGAAATTCATACAGCAGCACCCGTTCCCGGCTGTGACAGTGTTCCCGGACAATCGCTCGCATTATTACCGCCGCGACGAGCAATCCGGCTGTTGGGTACCCATGCGCTTCTAAACACCAACATACTCTGATAAAAGTACCATTTCATCAAAATTATCAGTAGTATTTGTTTTTTAGGACTGACACATTTTAGTATATTATATATGGCGAAGCTAGTTATATTCAGATATTTACATTGACCTTCTTTTAGTTTTCAATTGTGCAATTGTTTTTTAGTGGCGCTAGTATCGCTTTTTGGACACTTAGTGCATTACGCCAACGATGTAGAATTCATTCTTCCACAAAATAGAAACAGGACTGGTTTTGCCTCTATAAAATATTAAATCTATTGATGAAATAATTTAAAATATAATAAATTGTCACCAGTGTTTGTATAAACTTAAAAGTTTCTTTAGCTCATAGAAAAATTAAGTACACATATCAATGTTAGGAGGAGCTATGAAAATATAAATTAGTTGTACAGGTTGCTAAGTAACAAAAATTGTAATGGAAAAAGACCTATATAATATAAATTATGTACTAAATAAAAACTTCATAAATTAATAAAATTCTAGTGAAACTATTCGAAAAAAGCTCTACAGATTTCGTGTTACACCGAAATACTGTGAGATTATTTTTCATTGGTTCCTGTTACGACTCGAACCAATTTGAAGCTGCTTATATTAATTATTAGCTGGTCAATACATGGCTTCATCATATGCAGTGCAGCTATATCGTTAAATATAGTTTTGAAATACAATATCAAGGTTAATGAAAATTCTCAAAGAAAAATGTGAATAAAATTGGAAAATGATATTACATTGCGTACACGCTTCTATAGATTCGGTTTTTTTTTATTAGGATGACTTTTTTAATATTTACTTACCACGAAGTTGTAGTAATGGTAAACCCGAGTTAAATTATCGAATCATTCAATCGATTTTTTTCCATTTTTAGTGTTGGCAAGACTTAGAAGTGTTGTCATAAGATAACATTAAAATGACAACGATTAATTCTTCTCTCTATTAACAGTTCTAGTAATTTATTTTTTATACTTTTAATATTCATATGAGCATTATTGAATTCATTGTGTCTTTTTACCTTGGAATAGGATCTAAAATTGTAAAACAGGGACATTTTCAATTTTTGCCTTTTTTAAAGTTATGCTACGCTTTATAAGCGAATCAATTCATTTTCAAGCAGTTCAAAGACATCGCTTAAAAAGTATACTCCAGCTGATCAAACTATCCAAAATTACAAGTTTTCAAATACACTATCAGCCTTACATTGTTGTAATAAAGTTGACAATCGTTTGATATAACGTAGACGAGTTTGATATGCTGAAGTATATGCGTAAATATATTTTTGTTTTATTGTGATAATTGAGCTAGTAATATGATATTTTTTTCATTTATATTATTATAGACAAAAGTAAAGCTATGATAGTAGTGACCTTATGATTTGCTAATGATTTTATTGTGAAATAATTAATGAGGATGGATTTTATTTAAAAAAAATGTAACAGACAGTATGGTTGTGTAATTGTGTTAGTAAAAAAATCGAAAGTATAGTTTTCATTAAAATTTTGTTTCTATACAACACAATGTATTTTAGGCAACTAAATTAAAAAAAAAACATTTGTTACAAACTGTTGTATATTCTAATTAATTAAGTACTCCTTCGCTCAAATACTTTTTTTAAGGGCTGGATGCCTATCGAAAAATCGAAGCGAATCCTCAGTGTTCCGTTCTATTAGAATGCTTTTAGCTTTTTTTAAACTTGTTGATTGACTCAGATGGGCCAATGCTTAGCCGGTATGACAAGTCAAGCGCAATAAGGTAGCCCCGGCCCGGATCAGGATCGAGGGGTTTTATAGTCAGATTCTCTCTCGCCATATCTCAAGCGTGAGAAGTCATTCCATAATTTCTCCTCCACAAACGACTTGTTGACTGAGGGAATTATAATGTACATCTTATATAGTAAGAAAACTGCGGTAGAAATGTTGCTATATACAAAAATTCTATAAAATTACAATCACTTCTTACTTTTGTATATGTAAATATAAAATTTATAATGTTAATAAGTTATGATTAATTGTATATTTTGTCATTTTCGTTTTATCTACTTCCAGTTATATTTTAAGGTTTTATTAAGATTTTTTTCTTGCCTTCAAGGTGTACGGCAGGAAATGAATTTATGAAATACATTGAATATTGTCAGAACAAGTTATGTTGTAAATATTATAGTTATTAGATATAGTTAGTGACGTTATTTAGTTATTGTTTTGTGAAATATTATGAATATATTGAAAGTTCAAAGGAATATTTTGTTTATTTTCATTTTTCCTGTTTATATCTTCCAGGTATAAAACTGCGCAAGGTATTTCAAATTGTTTCTTTAAATGAATAGAGTGATTCATGGGTTCATACGTATATTGCATTCACATTCTTCAAGAACATTGTTTACAACTTCATGGCGCAGAAGGCGTCGCGGCTTGACGCAGAGCTCCGGCAGAAAAAGGCGCTTTTAAAGGCGCAGCTGCGCCATACGCAGCTCCGCCCTTTGTTGGCGCTCCACAGCGATCTGATGGCATTCCTTCGCCTCTGAGCTATAAAATATTTTTTTAAGAAATGTTTACATAGATACCTATAACATTACAATGTGGCCTGATATCGAGGTGTACAACATCTATTCATATTGGAAATTAGCAACTCTCACGCGGGTTCACCCTTTGATCGTAGCGTGATGTTTTATATATCACCCAGATAACATTGTAGCTATCTATCAGTGAAAGAATTTTGGAAATCCGACCAGCGGTTCCAAAGATTACCCCTTACATACAAACTTACAAATTTTCTTTATAATATTAGTATAGATATATGGCCAATTCATTATTCATATATCATTCCATAATTCTGAACCTATTCTATATAATGAGTTGTGACTTGTGTTAAGTATGATAATACTGTTCATAAATATACTATATACTGATGCAACCCAAACCCTGTTGGAAGTTTACTTGTCAAACAGTACTTACACAATCTCTCCTCCCAAGGATTCATTTAGGAACATACATTTTTCAAAAATTATATTTTCTGTAGAATCTCACAGCTACTTTCTAATCAATCAGTTCTTCTTCATTGAGCCCCAGGCACCTACAGCAGTCGGCAATGCTAAAAAAGAAAAATAATACTCAAAGCATGAAAGAACTTAGTGAGCAGATTACACACAGACTGTATTCACGACAATAAAATATCAATTAACCTAAGCACTCATTAGGTATGCATACCCAAATCCCGAAATATTCCACGTCTTGCCATGTTAGTTGAACACTCCGCCTCAGTAGGTACAATTTTATTATTATAAAGAATTTCAATCATCCTCATACAGCCACAGGCTTGAATAATCCTTTGATCGTCACAGGCTCATGAATGAATAAACTAACCCTGTAGGAAAAACAGCCACTTGAATTTGCTTTAAATTTAAAAAATATGGTATAAATTGTAAACATACCTATTGAACACAAGTTTATCTGGTCATTACGCACCCCATTTTGTATCTGTTAAACAAAACAAATATTGTTTTAATTCAGGAACAGTAGCCAAAAATTAAAATGAATTTCAAAGTACCTAGTGAATTTATACTTACTGCTGATTGTAATAAAATAACTCACAAAACTTTTTGTATTGTACCAACATTCAGAAGTTTTGATTTTGTAAGTTTCTTTAAATGGATAGTGACTCAAGGGTTCATACGTATATTGCATTCACATTCTTCAAGAACATTGTTTAAAACTTAATGGCGCTGAAGGCGTCGCGGCTTGTCGCGGAGCTCCGGCAGAAAAAGGCGCTGATAAAGGCGCAGCTGTGCCATACGTTGCTCCGCCCTTTTTGACGCTCCACACCGATCTGATGGCACTCCTTCGCCTCTGAACTATAAAATATTTTTAATGAAATGTTTACATACCTATAACATAACAATGTGGGCTGATATCGAGATGTACAACATTAATTCATATTGGAAATACATGGTCAATTCTTTTTTTAATTTAGTACCATTACATAATTGTGGTCATATTCTTTATAATAAGTTGGTGTGATAATACTGTTCATAAATACAAACTGAAACCCTGACTCCTGACAATTGTTTACTTGTCAAACAGTATTTACTTACACAATCTCTCCTCCTGATGTTCCGGCCTGGAGCAGCAGTCTGTTTCTGAAAATTAATAAATAAATTTCTAGCTGAACTAGAATTTGATATAAAACAAAATTTACATTAATAAGTAAAAATGCTTTAAAACACACAATATCCTGCCAATGCATACCATTGTTTGCAGTTGCTTTTTGATTTTTATGATTATATTTAGAAAACACTAGACTTGACTACACTAGAATTTCTGCTAGAATCTTACAGAAAACACTTCGCCTCAGTAAGAATAATTATAAAAATAGGTAAAAATTATAATAGTAGGCTGCGCGACGTCGCCGCGTCCGCGCACGCTGCTCATGAGGAAGAACCCCTCTGTGGTTCGAAACTAGTAGAGCTTTTCTCAACATTTACACGTGAGTAACCCGCGAATTTTAGTTAATTATAAAAAAATTCAATCGTCATACCGTCACAGGCTTGAATAATCCTTTGATCGTCACTGGCTCATGCATGAATGGGTAAACTAACCCTGTAAGAAAAACAGCCACTTGAATTTGCTTTAAATTTAAAGAAATTGGTAGGTATCAATAGGTATACTTAAATTGTAAATATTGGACATACCTACACGAGTTTACCTGGTCATTACACTCCATTTGTATCTGGTGAACAAAGTTTTAATTCAGCAAGAGTAGCCAAAAATGTAAAACATTTTCAAAGTAGGTAGTACTGAATTTATGCTTACTGATTATAATAAAATAACTTCGAACAGTCGACACAGGCATAACTAGTTTGTCTTTTGAAACACAGTCAGCCAGCACAGCAGATATACTTTTAACTACCTACTACCTACATTTTTAGTACCGTACAGTACTACCGTAGATAGGTGCCTATTTTGAAAGTTATAGTAAAACATCTTGTGTTGTACCAACATTCAGAAGTTATGATTTTGTAAGTTTCTAACTTTTAAATTTAAATTACGCTTATCTCATTACCGATGGGCTATTATATCATAAATCTTTTATTTTATTCACTTATTGTAAAAGTATAATAATTATGTCGATAAAATAAGTAAAATTACCAACACAGAATCATATCGATATATCGAAATTGAAACATAATAAAAATAAAAATTACTTGGAAATCCAAAAAAAAAAATATTGTTTGATAAACGAATATTTTAAAGTAAGTTTTAATTCATAGGTACGCGTTATTAGTTATGAAATGTATAAAGTTCACAACGAATAAAGAATGTTACCATTTGCTAAAAGTTTTCTTTCATTGTGATGTTGCACTTGTAAAAAATGCTTCGGCACGAATTGGTCGGCTCGACCGGAGTGATACCACGGTCTCACAGAAAACCGGCGTGAAACCACAGCGTTGTGTTTCGCCGTGTGATTTACTCATACATGACTCTTAAACTCATAGCAAACGCTTTTTGAATCCCACAAGATGAGAAATCTGTACCTTTGTTCAACTTTACAGTCCTATAAATAGAGAAGATAATGACGTAGTCATTTGATTATTTTCCCCCCTCAAGAAAGGGATTGTTATTATTCTTTAAGTATAACAGGAAAATAGTCGGAATTGCACAGTGTGAAGTAATTAAAAATATAAGTAGTCATATTTAAAAGTGTAATAAATGAACCACTTATTAATTTAATTGATAAGAAAAAAAAATAATTACGTAGGTGTGGTAGGTCTAAAAACAAATTAACTACCATGCGTCAGCGTAACACTGTTCAACTCAGTAGTCTTATTGCCCTGACTGTCAGTCGTCCTTGTCTCTCCTTGTGATATTTTCATCTACAGGTGGCATTTTGAACGTAAAACAATTTTTACCATAGGACCAATATAAAAAAAAAACTTCTCCATGCGAAAAGCTGTAGTAATTGAGCACCGAAATCAGCTCCTTGAATGTGTCCCTCGTTCAAAATGCCACCCTGTATATTATAAAAACGCCAGTTAGCTACATGCAGATGGAGATCAAGGGTAGCACGCTGCTCGACTAGAACCGGACCCAAGCGTGGTGTGCTTTACAGATTCGTACAGAGAATCATCAGGCCACCACAGAAGGGGCCTACAAGCCTTGTGGGCAAGTAATCTTGGCTAGAAATCGGTGACAACCCTAGGTGAGCAACAATCCAGCCAGGGTTGATGGTGCAGTTATGTTATGGCGCAGTTATGTTAAGGCAGCAGAAGAAGGAACGGCGTAGTTTTTAGTCTGTAGAGTCACACACTTAGGACGGGAGAACATAATAAACAATATATAAAACTTTTTTCCGACACTGATAGTCTCGGAAAAAAGATAAACTTACAAGCTTCATTCACGTTTATGCCTGTATAGCCTATCGTGTAGTCACGACCTGTCAATACATGACCGTTAAAAGGTTAAAAAGAAAAGATTATCGTATTGAGGTGTAGACAGAGGTGAATTAAAACTAGACGTATTTTCCACTAGATAGATATAAAAGTGGCAATCTCTATCAGAAAATACTAGGCACACGTGATTGCTTTATGACCAATTTGACTAAATTAACTAGATACTTATTTTAATAATATAGGATCGAAAATAAAGATTCGACATCATAATTATTAAAAGATTGATTTCCATCTCTTGCCCTGTCAACTCTGTCAAGTGTCAGTCATAAACTCCCGAGTTGGCAACATTACCTACTTTTGACTTTTGACAGCTGGTTTGTGAACTCAACTCAACTAAACTCGCAGTTTTGTTAGTTTTTGTGTAAAAGAATTCTTTCAACACATTTTGTAAAATCATTCCAAGGCGTCAAATAGTTAACAATATGGAAAAGCCAAGAGTTACTGAGCAACCACCACCATATTCCGCAACCGTCTTGCCAGGTAATTGTGAAATAAGTTTGTTTGTAAGAAACCTTATTTGTGAATGAATCACAATAAAGATAAGCTGTTCGATTATACTGCGTAATGTTGCAATTCGGCGTTATTATACATAATTACCTTAGATATCCTGAATATTAGTGTAGAGTGGAGGTTTGCGGTTGTTGCTTAGTCCATATTTTGTTTGGTAAACACGAAAGTTAGCTTGATGTATTCAATTTCTTAATGCTATATTTGCAGGGCCTGCCCCGCAGCCGGCAGGTGCTCCGGGTGCGCCGTACCCGCCTCCGCCGCCTGGGTATACCCCCTATGGAGTGCCTCCACCTCCAGGTACTGGATTTGTGCCTAACTATGGAGCCACAAGTATTATCATTCCACCCCCTATCATTGCTGTGGGAGCATGTCCGGCCTGCCGAGTTGGCATACTTGAAGACGATTTCACTTGCTTGGGTATCCTCTGTGCTATTCTATTCTTCCCTATAGGGATTCTATGTTGTCTTGCTCTCAAAAACAGAAGATGTTCTAATTGCGGAGCTCTGTTTGGATAGATAGAGATGATAACCCTTGTTAAATGTTTTGAATAAGAAATGTTGAATATTGAAAGGTTTATGTATGTAATAATGGTTACTCATTATTATTTACTTTGTTGTTTATGTTAAAATATAGTGGTTCTGCACAAGATCAGGAACAAAAACAGCTTAACACAGTTTACGCAAAATTATTTCTTGTTTCTACAGTTAGGTCAACATAACTGTACAACTATGTTTTAACATAAACATGGACAGTTTTATTTTATTTATCTAACAAATATATAAAATACTGATGATTATATTAATTAGTATTCAAGGTCGATGACCATTAACATTCTTGATAATCTGTTGAAATGTGTCCAATATACACAAACTTAACATCCAAATGAAAATGACTCACAGGTAAATGACAGCTATTAGCTTATCAAGAAGGAAAATATGAACAACTCAAATAAGTAAAGAAAAATATAGATCAAAAATAATATAAAACTTCTTGCACCTAAACCTCTTTTGATGGTCTTTAAAACCACCACTGCTTTTCATCCAGATGGAAATGATCTAATCTACAACTATACCATCACAGCTTTATGATAATGTTGTTTTTGTTAGTATCAAACACATACCACATTGCCTTAAATATCTAGTTTGAACTGGAAATGCTGCGACGTATTTTAGCTTCAACTTACAAAGTGGACAGAGCAATATTTATAAATAGAAACAATATATTTTAAAAGTATTTTTCTCATGCAATGAATATTAAATTTATTTTTCATATCTCTGAAAGTACTGTAGTTGATTTAAAATAGGATTATATTATTTTTATTATGTTATATATTAATGTTATGTTTATATTTTTACTAGTATTTTCGAATATTCATATTAATAGGATATTTTGAGTAAGTGTAATTTTTAGGTATACGGTCAGAACAGAATTTGTTATTGTGCACTTATTGTCTCTTTATCAAATTACACAAATTACAAATAGCATTTAAATATACAGTTCAATTCAGTGTTGCCATAAATCAAAATTATTTAATTTGCCAGTTAAATAAAGAAAATAAGAATGTTTTGTAATGTATAATTCTTTTAGTCTTTCAGTTCAATAATGTTTTTTTTTTGTTTTTGTTGTATAAAGTAGAAATTAAATCATTTTGAAATTATTTAATATGACAGATGTTTATTTAGTAGTCCTAACTTTATATTTAGAATTTGCCTTATTTTACATAGAAAAAGTTTAAATAATTGAAATGTTGTCTAGCGACATGGTCATAAAATATTGGGCTCATATTTTTTTATTTAAAAATATAAAATCTTAATTATATTTAGTGGAAAGTACTAATAACACATAATTAGTACTTTCCATAAGAAGGATGACACACCATAAGTATGAATAATGTCCAATTTACCAAAAAGTTTGGTTAAAAAAATGTATGTCCAGTATATTTTATTGACCTACACATAAACAAATATATTATACCATCACTATTAAAATTAATTAGTGACTGCATTGGCTAGTGTTATGAATAGGTAATAAATTTAAAATATCTTAGTTTAAGAATATTCAGAATTAGTTATTTTATTGAATAATAATTATTATTGTTTGCATATCATATTAGAGAATATTGTATGTTAAAATATAATGATATTGGTATACTTTGTATAGGTAGGTTTTGTTTGATTTGGTACTCCTAATCATGCTTCAGAATGCCAATATGCCAATACTAAATAAATTCAGTCTTAAATACAACCAATTTTCAACCTTAAGTGATAAGCTGACAGAAAATTATGAGGTGCAAAAATAAAAAAAACATGTTTTAATTGTAATCAGCATGTTTATAACAAATAACAAAAAAAACAATGCTATATAAATTATCTGTAACCAAAAATAATGTCTGACCAACATTCAAAAAGTAATTTTTCAATGTTTTATTTTTTAATTTTTGTTTACAAAATAATATTAGCAGCTAAGTTATCTGAGTTTAAAATGTTAGATAAATAATTGGTTCAATGTATCATTTCTAAATTAAAAAGTTTCTATTAAACCCCTGTATTCATAGACAAGTATACGTGATGTTTGGCTGGCTAAATAAATAAATAAAAAAATACCTTAAAACTAGCTCATCAACTTTATTATATAGTACAAGTTGATAAGAGTAAAAAAATTCTAAAAAACTTTCTATCTCTTTGTGTGGTGGTCTTTTATAGTGTGCGGTCTTGTTTGTCTTATGACTAACAGATTGTATATTGGGCATCAGACTTTATTTCCACTAGCGCCTCTGGTGGAAACAATGAGTATCTTTTGTGAGCAATTCTAGCGCCCTCCGTGAAAAATTTATGGCGCATTTCTCCTCATGATATTTTTGTCCAGCTAATCTTTATTCAACGAATTCTAGTACATCTGATTTTTGAATTAGGAGAACTTATATATAATTTAGATAAGAAAATAATCGCATTAAATTATGCTGTAAAAAATATATGATAAAACTGAAACTCAAAAGTACTGAATTGACTGTGTATATTTTGAAACTCTTACGAACATTATTTGCGTTTGGAACTGAAACATTTAACGGTTTTTTTTTAAATAAACGTCATTTCAATCCGATGTTGATTTAAAGCACGCGTGTGTTATGTTTGGTACTGGTTGATTAGTAAGTAGGAATATTATATGTATATTTTTATTAGAATAATGCGTAGAAGGCACGGAGTAAACATCTCGGATTAACTGCAGATTTGATTATGAATTTCATTTGCAACTTAAAGAAAAAGCTAATATTTTGTAAATGATGTGTAGCAAATGTTAGTTTTGAATTGTTGGCGCCCAATAAGTACATTTTTGCTATCGTTTAACATTTATTATGTGACTACTGTAAACTATAAACTCCATATAAAAAACCTTGCCATATTTTCCATGCTAGACAGGCGGGTTAGAAAGTTCAGTTCGAAAGGTTCAGATCTATTAGAGAGCACTGCTTCCCGATCTCTGTTTAGTAAAAAGTCCTTTAGCCTTTACAATACACTTGGGAAGAGAAGGGTGATATCAAAAGTGCTAGTTGGACGTCTGTACACGGGAATGGTCTCTGTTGGGCGCCAATAAAGTCGAAGAGACCTAGAATCTTTTATCTTTGTCATTATAAACTGTGATGTCGCAATGGAAATACAAGAATGATAATGTGTGAGTTAGAAATAGGTGGCTAGAATGATAAGAAAAGGCTTCTAAAGCTAGCAATTTTTGATGTTTTAAATCAACATCCCTAAAAGCCATACCAAGTACTGAATAGGTTAGACTTAATACACCATCTCCTCATTGAATTGTTGACAAGTGAAATGTTATTTGTAAGTAAGCGTTTGAAAGATCTAAGTATATGGTATACATAACTATGTAATTATTATTATATTTATACTATAGGTTTTTCAATAAAGTTTGGGAATAAAAATTGTCGTTTTAATTACAAAAGTCCTCATCCAAAACAAAAATAATATGATTAAAAGCATTATTTTTTACTAGCACTTACGCACTACAGTTTTTTTTTTGTGAGGGGAAAATAATCAAATGACATCTCCCGCCCAGGGCCGAGCGGGAGGGAGTGTCAGACTTACTGACTAAAAACCCCCCTGTTCCTTCTCCTGCTCTGGGCCGAGGTCGCGGTGCCTCATTGCGCTTACCCCGCAACCCCAGCTGAACATCAGCCCTATTGGGCCCCGTCTGTGGTGGTCTTTTTGGCTCTTTGAGGCGCGCGTGGAACGCTACGCGCCGTACGCTCGTACAGCTATGGTTTGAACTTTATTTCATTTGTAGTTCGCTATGAGACAACTAGATGGCGCTGCATGGACGTAACATTAATTAAAGATAGGTAGCTTAATCGACATTAATGATGTCGTTACATCACGATTTGTTTATTAATTAAAATTATATTTGTTTTATTCCTTTATAAACAATAAACATCACAAGTGAGTTTCGAAATATTCTTTAACCATTATCTACTTATCAACTCATGACAATCTTCTGTTCAGATTTTCCGAAAATCTAGGTCACATTATTTAAGGGTATTACCACAGATCGTCAGTTATTATCGGATTAACACACACGATTACCGTTTATTTGGACCGCCATTGCAGAAAGCGCGCGTAAATTTCGCGGTTATTTGTTGGTGACATAAATTCGGTCGATTTGGCGTGAGCGCGTGGCTATCAGACGCCCTCAGGCTACAAATTGGATAAAAATCATCTCACACTATATCAAGGCCAAAAATAATTTATGATTGACGTTCTTTCAAGAGCACCTATTTCGCAAAACTTTTCATCTAATGTAATTAGATACTCGTAGATAGGTACCGAACAGATTATCAAACTATATTTTTTAAACTTTTTTCATGTTTATTTTATCAAGATTGAGTCTTCTATACCCAGAATAACAATTAGTGGATCATACAGTGTTGATCCATGTAGGAAGCGAAACTACGACATGTTATAAAGGAGCTGTTTAATTACCCTCTGTGCTTACTGAGCAGTGAAAGTAGCTGTTTGAGACTTTTTATATTTAATTAAAAATTGATTTAAAACATTCACCATGAAAATGTTTATTACTTATTTAACGAGAAACCATCAAACAACCACTGTTCACGTTTTTATTGCGGCAGAAACCGCGTGTCATTGCCATAGCTAGCTTTATTTTACTGTGGGTACTTGTAAAACGAATTTAATTCGAGTTTATTGCTTCCTTGTTTGTTTTTGCAATTATCTGATAGGACTGTGAAGGGAAGGGAGTTGTTGAACCATCAACATCATCATCACCAGCCTATAAGAGCCCAAGATATAAGAAACTAGCTTATGCTTGCGACTCCGTTCACGTGGAACAGTGATCCTGCAGATTTTTGGTATAAAAACTATCCTATGACCTTTCTCGAGTTCCAAACTATGTCTGTACCAAATTTTACAGAAATCGGCTCAGTAGTTTAGGCTTGAAGAAAAGACGGACAGAGTTAGGTACTTTCGCATTTATATATTAGAATAGATTTTATTTGTTGACTGACTGACTTTGACCCGCTGACTGTATTAACCCCCTTCGCAATTCTTAACTATCCGAAATCGCCAAAGGTCTGCAACACATTCGTAATTCCTTTGTTGTTGCGTGTGTCTATGGGCGGCGCTGATTGCTTACCTACCATTAGGTAATCTGTTAATTAGCCATGCCGACTTATAAAATAAAAAAAAGTTTAAGAGTCCGAAGCGTTTAAAATGTTAGGCACAATATAGGTACTCAGCCAGGGTTGCGGGGTAAGCGCAGACACTCGGCCCAGAGCAGGAGAAGGAACAGGGGGGTTTTTAGTCAGTAAGAGTCTGACACTACCCCCCGCTCGCCCCTGGGGGGAGAAGTCATTTGATGATTTTCTCCTCACAAAAAAAGGCACAATATATAAGTGACAGAAGTGTGTGCCATAATATTAATGAGGGTGCCATCTCTTCATGCATTCGAAGAGGGCGCCTTAGTCTTCGGGCCGTTAGCCGGAGCTGCAGGGCAAGTGCTATAAGACACTGCAGCCTCGGCCTAGAGCAGGAGAAGGATCGTAGAGTTTAGGCTTTTAGTCAGTAACAGTCTGACACTCCTTCTCGCCTCATCCTGGGCGGGAGAAGTCATTAGATGATTTACCCCTCAAAAAGCCACCAAGACGTTAAAACTAACAGCAAAGATAACCTAATTAGACTACCGGTACTTCAATAATTTGCCCAGGTATCTAAGTAGATAATTGCCGAGTTTAAATTGTTTGAGTACAAAATTTCAGTTAGTTAAATCCGTCCTCGCGAGCTTCCTTTACTTATTAATAATTTCCACTCAGCGCTGTTGGCTTTGTGTCGCGTTTGTTATTATAATTTAGTTAATGTATTTAGGTTGATACTATTTCATGTATTATATAAGTATCTGTGTGTAGGTTTTCATAAAAA